TGCACCAGTGTATAATTGGTCAATCCTCCCTTGTGCCGATGAAATGAAGTGTACATGTGTTTCCAGCAGGCGTATCAAGGCGGAATCTGTCTTATCAAAAGGAGATAAAAACACACACACACACACACACACACACACACACACACACACACACACACACACACCTTGAAATTATCGGCGCAGAATCAATATCCTCCCCTTCCTCCCACATCACCCTCCTTTCACCCTCCCTCCGTTTCTTGATCAGGATCTCGACCGCCATTCTTGACGGCCCGTTTGACCCGCTCTCGCCCCTCTCTGCCTTCATGCTGATTTATCTGCGCTTTATCTCCATCATCATAACCTCCCCCCCTCCCCCTGCCTCCCCCCTCTCGCTCCTCTCCGGGATCAACGAGGGATCAATGCGGCCGTATGCCGTCTCTCGGCTCGCTCTACACACCTACCGGTCTGTGTCAGCAGGTCACCATGAGGTTCCCCTCCTCCACCCACATGCACTGTGTGTCTGCATGTGTGTGTCTGCATGTGTGTGTCGGATTGTCAAGCGTCGGAAAGTGGAAAACTAATAGCACAGCTGTCCAAGAAAGGAGAGCAAACGCAACTCTTAAAAATGATCACTTCCATTTGGGACTTGGATGTTATTTTCATTGTTTTGGCCACAATGTTATTATGAAGACACTTTAATCGTTAAAGTGAACCGCTAACGGGTGGAAAGGCCGTTGCCATAGAAACAAGAAGGACACAATCGTTCAAATGGGGGATGAGAGGACACGCATTCAGACGGCCCCGCCTTTGCCGATGGCTCGGAAAAGTTAAATACGACAAAAGGTTTAAATCGGCAGAGAACACTGGCAGCAAAACTACAGACATCTAAAGAACGACCAGGACAAACGTGTCCATACTTCACACCGCTGTCTTCCTATCAACACCCGCGTCGAGTTCAACTCGGTTTTCAGAGCCGCGCCCCGACTGCTTTGCAGCATCCGTGGCTCTTTTTGGTCTTTGGAAGAGAAAACACCTCCAGCTGCAGAGGGCAGCGCGCACACACACACACACACACACACACACACACACACACACACACACACACACACACACACACACACACACACACACACACACACACACACACACACACACACACACACACACACACACACACACACACACACCTCCCGTCGCTCTCCTGTAGTAAAAACACACACTGCCATCCATTCACAAAGCTATGGCGCTGACACTGCGCTGCTTAGCTCAAATCCCCCCCCCAGCTTCAACGCCGCTGTTCTGAATCAACACGCAGAAGAGCTTTTACTTCCCCACTGAAGCTGTTAAACGGCTTTTACCAACTCACTGTTTGATTGGATGGACTAAAAGATCCCAATACTGTGGTAAACTCAATGCGGGTTTTTGAGGCTCTGTTTTTTTCTGCGACAACAACAACAAGAAAAAGACAAAGGAAGCCAGTTCACCACAATCCGAAGAGAAAGGGTTGAAAGAGGAGTATTTAAAGATTTAAAGAAAAAAGGTTAGATCTTAAAAAACATTTTGCAGTGAGATAAAGGTTGAAAAACAGGCCGCCGCCTCTCTTAGGTGTTGTTGGTGCCCCTCAACCCTCAACCCTCCCCCACCAATGTCATGAATGAAGGTTCACTCCCCTCAACTCAATCTGCTGCCTCAGCCAGTCTTTCACAACCGACCCATTCATAAAACTGCCGGACTGAAGTTTATGTGTGTGTGTGTGTGTGTGTGTGTGTGTGTTCACCAGGCCAACTGTGTTTATGTGTGCGCATGAGTAAGTGGATGAGAGGCTGTCAAAAGAGATTGAGTCTGTTCACGTAAGAGAAATCAACCATTTTACACTTAAGTAAAACTAAAAAACATCAACAAACACAGAGTCCTCGTCTCCCCGGAGAGCGAGACAGAGACAGAAAGACAGAATGAGAGACATATAGAAAGAAGGAGCGACAAACAGAGACAGACGAACAGGGAAAGAGAGAGAGACACAGAGAGAGGGAGACAGACGTCTCCATTGGGGCACCTGGCTGTTTAGTGCACTTTGTTGCGTAGCAGCTGTATTTTGGAAAGTGGAGAACACAGAGCTGCATGTTTCCCTCTCTGGGAGGCAGGGAGTTGGAGAGGGAGGGGCTCGACTCCCCCATCGCCCCACGCTCTGAAGCGGGGCCTGATTGGGCCGGTTCCGATCCCAGAAAAACAACCCCAAAAAACAAGCGCAGGGCTGTGAATTCATGACAAAGCAGAACAGAGGTTCAGACTCTCTGACTCTCTCAACACAGAAACCAGGCACGCGGTTTTATTTTACTGCTGTAAACGGTTTGCTGTTTTGTTTTACGCGACGAACTGAATATCTCTCGCGTTCAGGGATTCTGGTCAGAAAAAAAACCAAAACAAGCTTTTGTGTTTTGTGATCCACATTTCTCTGCATTGTATGTTATAAAAGAGCGAGATGTGACCTCCAAACGGGAGACTTGAGCTTCTTTCCTCTCGATTCTGCTGAAAGTTGCTTTCTGAAAGGCACTTTAACGGCCTCCTACCGTCACAACTTCCTACGTATCATTACTGCAAGGCACCAAGCTAAACAATCGTCCCACACAGCTCCGAAAAACGCTGGATTAGTTCACATCTTGGAACACTCAATGTGTGTGTGTGTGTGTGTGTGTGTGTGTGTATAGAGAGAGAGACAGAAAAAGGAAAGGGGGGGGGGCCGTCCAGATTTTTGAATTCAACTTAGTTTGTACAGACACAGGAAGGGAGGGAGGGGTTTGGAGTATCCACTTGGAGAGGAGGGGGAGACAGAGGTGGAGGGAGGGGGGGGGGGGGGGGTCTGTAGTTCTGTAGGGCTTTTTTTATGAATGAAGACCGAAGGAGAGCGCAGCACACTAGTGCAAGAGAGCGGGGGGCACGGGGGGGCAGGCACACTTCCTCTTACGCACACAGGGAAGAAAATTTATGAATGGGTCACATCACTCCAGCGGCTCCGAGTGTAAACAGCATACTTGGACAAAGAGGAACGGCCTCTCGGCCTTTTGGGGTTGGTTTTAAAAACACACTATAGAGCAGCGACATGCTCAAACTATTCTAACCAAGTGCTCGCACCATTCATTTGACTGACACCTGCGTGTGTTTTCAGCCCCCCCCCCCCCCCACCGGGCGGGGAACAGACAAAGGAATCCCTCCGACAGCCCCGCGTCGGGGCGAGGATAACCCTCCTCCTCCCCCCGCACACACCCACCCTCCCCCCGCCTGAAGGTGCTCCAAAACACAAACATTAATCCCCACCTCCTCCAGATGAGCAGAAGAAATGAATAATCACGTCTCCCTTCTTGAGGCTGCAGTGAACTACGGCTCAATTATCGCTAAGACACACGCACACGCCAGCAAGTACATAAAAGTCACATGTTTGCATAACCTTCCCTCAGACAGAGCACGCTTGTTAGCAGTGAACTGGGGGAGAATGAACCAGATGATAGATTTACCAGATGTGCAGGTATTGCACAATCCCTCCTTTGCCCCCCCCCCCAACCAATTCCCCAATCTAACATTCCTACATGTGGCCGTGTTGTTTTTCTTTTCTTCTGCAGTGTCTCTGCTCCCCCCTCCCCCGTCTAAACACCGCACCCTCACAGGTAACAACCTGACTCAGTAAACAACAATGTTTAATGTTACCTGGGCGCCGTTTTCAATGAAAGGCACAATTATATTCCGGGTATCTCGTTTGTTTTTTTCATGAGCGTCTGAGTTTCCAACAACAGGTGAGTCAGAGGGAGGGAGGGAGGGAGGGAGGGAGGATGGGGGAGGGGGGGAACCAACACAAAGAGAGAACACTTCCATAGCTGTTTGTCAGCTTCGTTTCCCCCCCCCCCGAATGAAAGCTGAACGGACGCTCCGAGTCGAGTCTTCTGGCCATCGGCTGCGAGCAGCAGGGACGCCGCCTGTCAACGCCGCCGTGTCTCCGTCGCGTTTAAGTGAGCTGCCCATCAAACCCGGAGCCCCCCCCCCCCGTGACCCCGCAAATCACACCCCGCTTAAGCGCTTGCAGAGGCCTGACAGCTGATTGGCCCCGGCAGGTCACCGGGGGTTAAGTAGACACGACCCCCTCTCCCCCCCTCCCCCGGGGGTTCATCTGCACTCCCCGCTCGGCATTGTGTGTGCGACGGACAGCGGTGGCGTCGCACGGGGTCACCGGGGGGGGGCGTGTTGTGACCCGGAGCCGGTTGAATCAAGGGAGGTTCGGGACTGAGAGCTGTCAAGTTTCACTTCTGGGGTGAGATTTGGACGTTCTCTTTCAGTGTCATCGCTGGAGATTGAGACGCCTGCGGTGCGTCGGATGGAAAATACTTCCGTTTGCAGAGTGACGCGTATTCCCACCCTGGTCCCGAATCGCCATTGTTTAGGACACACAACAAGAAAGGGAAACCCATTCAAATAGCCGCTCAGTTGTGCAGCCAAGGAATTTGCTTTTCCATTTAACACCTTCCGACGTGCACAAAAGGGCCCATCTTTGTACCTGGGCCACAATTCATTTTTTTTGTTACTTGTTTCCTGAGCCGTACCCATTCAGCTTTTCAAAGGCATGCAAATAGGGAGGGGGGGTGGGCAACGGCGGCGCGTAACGCTGGCAGTCCACCTCGGCGAGGGCCGGCTCATTAGGCCTTCTGTTTCTGCACAGCGCTGTCTGCCAAAGGGATTACTGTAACATCAGCCAGTTACTGTCCTGAGCCTCTGGCGGCTTCACGGCCCAAATTTGACCGCTGGTTCCGTCGTCACATCCAAGGACGCGCCGATACGTCGATTACACGCAAATAAATATTTAGCACGTGTCTAAAAGAAGTTGGAGGCCGACGCGTCCGTGTGAGCAGCTACGTATGTTGCATTGAATAAACGATCGTTAAAAAGAAAAAGGTCTTCCTGCCTTATATGGTGAAGAATCAGATTCTTGGCATGGACACATACGTGCAGAGGACACAGACATCAAAAGTACTCACAGTTCTCTGAATGGAAATCGGGAACAAACTGCTCGTCGCTGTCAGGAACTTGAGCTGAAATTGCAGAGGAAAAAAAAGAGGAACCGTAAATTAAACAGTATTATTATACTTTGGACAAAATCCGACCTTTCTCCGTCTCTTCTTTCCTCCCTCATTTGGCCTTATTAGTCATCGCTGGGCTTCGTTCAGGTTCTCTGCAGCATGCCAGAGCTTTGCTCATCAAATGCATCAATACGGAAGAACACGGAGCTCCTGGATGGCATGATGTTGACCTGCCGGCCTGCTTTCCTTTCCATTTATGATGGTGAGATGAATAAACACAAATAATGCCATGAAATAGAAATAATCAAACATGTGGAATATAAACATGCACGTTTATATTCCACAATCCCATTTTCCCCTTTGACTGTTGTATTACACAATGCTACTTTTGGCAAGTTGATATGCAATCATGAACTAATACGCTATTCAAGACAACAACACAAACTAGTCAGATCAGGTTTTCTGGTTTCTTTCCATTGTAGAAATCCCAGACGGACTAAACCGGTCGTTCCGGCTGAGCGAGTGAGGGAATCTGTCACGCGGTGCGACAGACCGGCTATTTAGATTCACCTCGTCCCAAAGTGTCGGGGACTCTCAGCCTGGATTTCATCACGGTTACAGTAAAACAATTAAACTTTTTTAATTTTTTTAATTCAAAGTCAAGGTTGAATAGTTCGCGCAGCGACATTAATATTTGATCACACTACCTTTATCATATTGTTCGCAACGGAGACCGTTTACAGCAAGCTCACAATGATTCCTAAAAAATACCCAGTCGGATGCGGCGACGTGGAATGTGTGATATCGCCATCTGATCTATAATCCGTCGCCGGCGGTGTTGAGATTCAGTTTGAAAGAGACACTTTTCATAATGAATCGCGTCGGAGGATCTTAAATCATAAGAGGAGCAGTCGGCGATGCCGAGCCAGGGTGCAGCGCAGCCAGACAGACACTATTGTGCGGCCTCTTTTTGTTTTTTAGGAATCCAAACCCCATTCATGAATGTCCCTTTAGAACTTCAGTCGCACAAACAGCTCAAATCATTTGACTGCCAACACCCTGCTCAGGGGTGAAGAGGTCAAATTCACCCACTCAAGCCACCCATGGGCGTGATGGCATTTTCGTGCTTGTCCTCGCTCTGACTGAATGAGCCAACCAGAATAGATGTTGAGTAAAACCAGGGCTAGCAACCTTTTTTTTTTTAATCCGGCAGCGCTCCAGTGCAAAGTTTTTTTTTTTTTTTCCCCCACAAGTGTTTCCACTGCTCTGGCCTCACACTTACGTCACAGCACGAGCCAATAACTGGTATGGGAAAAGTTGATGGCGATCATTAAATATCATGAACTAAGTCGGGGGCGTGATGGGATACCAAACAAAGTGGTACCATGTCGCAGGTACTTATTAGAACCGGAAAAACAGCACTAAATAATGTAAAGGTGCCATTTTTGTCCCCTTGAAAAGTAGACAAATGCACGGCGTTGGACCGAGGGATGTGAACGTAATCTCAGTCAAGGACCTAAAATGTGACCCTCTTCTCTTTCTCAGTCGACCCAAACGGTTTCCACACAGTGTTAAGACAGAAACCAAAACTCCAAAGAAAGCGAGGGGGGGGAAAGAGAAAGCAACACAGGACAAAAAGAGGAAATAAGAAATTCAAATCAAAAAGTCTTTTTGTCACGCTCGTCCTTCCTGCTCAGAGCACAACTGGATGATGGAGTCTTGACGCATGTTCAGATAATTTC